GGGGATATGATTGTTTGATCTGGCTTTCTCGTGGCATAGTCTGGGGCTTTAATTATACGTGAAGACTTCTTCTGTATACACTAAAATACAGACTGACCGAGGAGGTTTGATTTGTAGGAAAACAAGCTTTCTGCAGTTTGTGAAAGAGTTCTCGATAGGTGTTTGGCACCTTCTACTGCTGGAGGTGAAGGATGTGACAACATGACCATGATTTTGGTGCAATTCAAGAAACCTTTTCAGTCTGGGGCTTCTGCAGTTGAAAAACTCCCAGCTTCTAGCGAGACACTCCCTGCTTCCGGCGAGGCTAACACTGAAACAAAACCAGCAGAGTGCGAATCGAGTTCGTAGTCCTGAGCTCTCCGGTTTTGATCTGATACTTCTGAGTATGCAATTGTACATGATTATTTTGTGCCGAGTGGATCTCTACTGCACATATATATTTTGTTTTCCTTGCTACTGGTATTGTATTATAACCAGTGGGATGGCTTGTATAGGTAACTTGACCACAGGTTTGATCCTTTCATGTAACTGTTTATTCAAGTTACTTAAAGGGGTTTCCTTTTCCCGCCTCTGAAACAAAGGAAACAAATTGTATCAAAGAGACCTTTCCTCAAGGTCCTCTCTGGGGTTGCATTGGTTGGGGCGAGGGAGCACTTCTACAGCAGAACTTATCCTACATTCTTACTATGAGCTTCAATTTGATATACTACCTCCTCTCACCCTCTCCCTCCACTAAAAAATAAATAACAAAACAAAAGGGCCATCTTAGAGGTTTTAGTTTGGATACATAAGTTTTTAAGGCTGAATAAACTTGTCAAAAATTTTATAACTGAGTCCGTTTATCGGCCACTGGATGCTGACAAATGTGATAAACATATTTGACAGCTCCAAACAAACTAAAGCGTGTGGATATTAATCCATTTTCATCTTCTTGAACACATGCTTGGGAATGGTCCTCAATGGTCTCTGACACTGTCAATGTAACTGACATCAATAACTATGAACGCCACTGTTATAGCTGGGAAGATTTCCAAGTGGTCTATTTTGTTGAATGGTAACAAGGTAATGGAGATGGCAAGTATGGCTATAAAGCCATCAATGGCGGTTTTGAGCTTTGTAGATGCGTTTATTGCTTCTGTGAAAGACGAGTGTGCCAAAGTTTTGATGGATGTCCCCTGACCACTATTCTCGTGCATGTTTCTTCTATTCTTTTATTGAATTTGGGCGCCTGGACATAACGTATGGATGGCGTTTGGATTTGATGAGCTAAAAAAGAAAAAGTGGCTAAAAACAATAGTCACTATAAATGGTTGGTTCAATTTCTTCTGCGAAACTGCATGCATTCGGCAATACTAACTCAATTTTTGCTGGTGGGAGACACAGTAAACGTGTCTAATAGGCACAATTTGCATAGACATTCACTGGCTGATAAGTCATGGCCTGATTAAAGTATTTAAATGAAATTTTTGGCGAGTTAAGATCCCCCCTTTCATATTCATTAGTATTATTTTTTGGCCGATGTATACATAATTATTCATATATACCTGGATTATTTATATGATATATATCTATCGGCTATTTTAAGTTTAAGTAGTTGGGTGAGCGGCTATTTAGGTTAACTTACCGTTTAAAGATATTTTTACACAAATAGCCTCCCAGATTTACCGACGGATGTACAATATGTATAATCCTTGTTTAATATGTGGATAACCGTATATAAATTAGTGTATAATTTATATATAGCGGCTAGGAAAAGTAAACAGTAAATTTGGGAAGCTATTTCTGTAAAGATCCCATTGTTCAATGTGTGCTGTTTTCTTCCAGTCTGTGGGCTAAATGAATTGATATTTCATCGAATCTTGACGACTGCGTATTTATCCAATTAGTCTCTGAAGATATCTGTTTTGCGTTGTAGCCTTGCAGTGGCTCTCTCACCAACAACTCTCCTCGCTACCCCAAGCGAAAATATTCGCTTCGCCATTTTTCCTACGAGCGCCTCTCTCTCTCTCTCTCTCTCTCTTACACACTCATAGAGGAACTAATTTAGTTGTTTTTGTGGTGTCTGATATTGGTGGCAATTCGGATCTTATGTTGTTTAGCCAAGCTCATTTTTGAAGTTATTTGAGTGTGAGATACGGTTATTCACAATTCTGAAAGCTAAAGCTGAGGTGATGCACAGGTATTTAAAATTATAAAACATAGAGGACATTATTAACGAAAATTCAATATTAGTGAACTAGCTTTGATGGAAACGGATTGCTCACGGACAATTCTCTTTAGATATGACTATATTAGTTGACAGCTTGTATGTGCATCTATATTCTTGTGCAAATCTTCTCCAATTTGTTATATTATACTATGGAATATCTTGTTCTGCAATCGGTGTCGCTATCATATAATTATTCATTTTCATAGGTAGAAAAGAAGGTTTTTCTCGCAACTTTACATAGTAATCCTTATAATCAACACAGAAGTATAGATATTTGTGATAGACTCAGAAAGGTTGCTTAAAATCTACTTTATAACAGCTTTTACTAAACATATAAGTTATTATACAATATGATACAATTAAAAAAAAAAAAAAACCAAGTAATCTATCTAAACATTATATTCACAAAATAATATAATACAAGCATGATGCGTTACAAAAGGATGAAAAACAACAATCGGAGCAAATTGTCAGTCATCTACCCCTTGAAAAAAATTAAAAGACCAGCTAAAAAAGCGAAAAAGAGAGGCAAAAGACAACAATAGATACAAAATTTAGTCGAAATCAGTTTTTAAATCACCATTTATATTTGGGAAAAAGGTTAAAATTGCCCCTCTACTATTGTCAATTGGTTGTTTGTGCCGCCCGTTATACTTTTCGGCCATTCTCGTCCCTACCGTTAATGAACTTTGAATAAATACCCCTAATCCTAACGTCTATACACTGTGGCAGCTGACCACATGAATTTTATCCAAGTCAGCTTCCATGTCAGTGGGCCCACCAATTTAAAACCCCACAACACCCATTTACTATCCGTCTCCCACCAAGAATTAGGGCTCAGACGACCCCAATCCTTTTCCTTCATCTTCAATGTCTCAAGGAAGTTGTTATTCCCAAATTAGGTGTCGTTGTAGCATCTTTGCAAACCACTTCACTTCAACGACTCCATTAAACCCTGGAAGGCGATTTTTTAAATGTCCGAAGCCTAATGTTAGTGATTGTGTAACAAAAGATCTAAATTAGTAACTGTTTGCTCTAAATTATAGTCTAATATTAACGATCTTAGTTTCTTCTCTGATTTTTTTGTTTTCGACAGAATCGTTCTTGTGGTTAGTTTGAATGGAAAGGTAGAAATCTCGTTGAACAGTGATTTAGTTACAACTAAAGATGTAACATCATCTTGGGAAGCTATTAAAAATGTTAGAGATAAATTTAAAGAAGAATTAATTGCCCTGAAGGCTCTACACAAAGCTGAAGCTGCAAAAGTAATGAAATTGGAAGAGAAGATTTTGAAGACGAGGATGATGCTTATGATCTCATGGGCACTTTTTGTTGGATTTGTTGCGGCGTCGATGATGAAGTGAAAGTTGATGAATCTTGTTGATGATGCTAATGAATATGTTTTGTTGTCAATTTTATTGTCGTTTGAAATTGGATGAGAAGGTGTTATGTATGTTGTTTTGAACCTTTTACATTAGACCTTGTAATCTTAGTTAATGTAATCCCAATATATTAGTTGTCAAGAATTAGTTAATGTAATTCCAAGTTATGAGCTTGTAACCGTTTACATTAGAGCTTATATTAGTTAATGTAATCTTAGAAGTTGTCAGTTCTTTTGTGATGAATTTCCTGTATTATTAGTTGATGTTATGGGTTGATGAACATAGCAGTTATGTCAAAAAGTATGGACAATTTCATAACTCCATTTTGGTCCAAAATCTGGACAGTTTCACAAAGGCCTTTTTGTGCCAAAATCTGGACAGTTTGACAACATTTTAGTCCAAAATCTGGACATTTTCACTACACCTGTTATGCCAAAATCTGGACAGTTTCACAAAACAACTTGTTAATAAAACCTTGATAACATCTATAACTCATAAATTAACACTTAAACAATTCATAAACTCTAGTTTCATTCATCACAAGGGGATGTCACATTATCACCCCTAAAACCTACATAAACAAGTGACAACATGACATCAAGTTTCTCAACCTAAACATTCAAACTACATTAAACCATAAACAAGGGGATGTCACATTATCACCCCAAAAACTTTCACAATTAGGTGATAACATGACATCCGAGTGAACATGTCACTAACTAAACAACCACACAAGTTTAACAAGTTTACTTGGCTAATAGTAATTACATCACAACCAAAATATACAACCATAATAGAGTTTAGTTGATCTACATTCTAGAACACCAGAACAACTGGTCTTTAAGTATGCTTCTTCCCATTACCCTTCTTTGCTTTCAACTTGGCCAATTTTTGTTTGTTAAGCTGGTTACTAGTATTTGCAGCTTCTTTGGTGAGAATGGTAGGTTTGATGGCTCACTCACACCACTAGCATCTCCAACAAATCTGATTGTCCTTGTTCCAATTGCTGTACTTTGTAGTTGCCTCAATTGTAGCCTAGTCTTTTCCTCAGAGATATTTCTTGGCCTTATAGCTATTTCAGGCTCAGGCTCAGGGTCAAAGTCTGGAAAAGCACTGCAGCTTGGTTCTTTCCTCTTCACTGAAGGGGTTGGCATGAACACCATATTGCTAGATTGACTTGTTTGAGTAGGCTGACTTGGCTGAGGGGCGGACAAAGGAATTTCCTTATCATTGGCTTCTTGTGGCACTGGTGCAACAGAGGGAGATCTGGGATGTTCATCATTAGCTTCATCAAGTAAAGTTCTCTTCCTCTTTGTCTGCTTTCCCTTCTTCTTTCCTCCAATGGACTGCTTTCCTTAAGAATGTTGTTAGTAAGACAGAGAGTTTTGGTTAGTTGTTGAAACAGAAAGAATGATAGAAAAAGTTATGGTTTTGATTACCTTTGCACACCCTCTAGCATTGTGTCCAGGTTCACCACAATTGTTACATGTCATTACCCTCCCTTTCCTTGATTGAGCCCATTGTCCTTGCCTATTAAGTTCCTCATTTTTTTCTCTTGTTCTCTTAACCTTTGATCTCCCAGTCATCTTTACCAAAGGTGGTGGAGCCATGTACTGTGAAGGTTCAATTTTCTAGAACTTTTCTCCTCTTACTGGTTGTAACTTATGTGAATAAATTTAGAGATAAATCTCTTTGGTAAGGTACCAATGAATCTGACTTAGAGGGTCCACTTTCTTGTGCAATAATGCACATATTGCATGAGGACATGGAATTCCACAAAGATCCCATGCCTTACAGGTACATTTCTTTAATCTCAAATTCACAATGTGCTTGTCACTACTTTCAGTCACCTCATATCCATGGTCTGCACTGCCATTAACATGACACTTCAATGCAATCTTCGTGAATTGGTTGTACAACTTCATGATTTTAGGAATGTATTCATTTCCCCAAGACATCACCTCAGCTTAATGTTCAGTAATCATATTCATCACCTTGATTCTAATATCCTCAAGCATCTTAA